ATATGGCTGGGGGTTGGGGAAGGGATAGGAGAAGGAAGGAGGAGACAGAGGGATGTTTTAAAGGAAAGTACTCAGGTTGTGGCCTTGGGTGAGCATGGAACCTAGGACAGAGAAGACATCTGCAACAGGCTTCGCTGGAGAGAACATGGTAGTGGAAGGCAGGAGAGCTCTACCACTCATTTGTTATGTGACCTGGGGCACGGTATTTTTCTTCTCTAGGTGCTATTTCTATAAAGGAAAAGAGTTGATAGGATCATATATTTTGAACTCAGAAGAATCTTTGTTGTTGCTGTTCAGTTGTTTCAGCCATGCCTGACTCTTCGTAACCTCATTTGGGGTTTTCTTGGCAAAGATGCTAGAGTGGTGTGCCATTTCCTTCTCTAGCTCATTTGACAGAAGAGGAAACTGAGGCAAACAGGGTTAAGGGACTTGCCCAGGGTCATATAGCTAAGAAGTATCTGAGGCCAGATTTAAACTCAGGAAGATGAGTCTTAGAGATCACTTAATTTTCCAGAACCCATCTGGAGAATTGTGTTCAGTTCTGGGAGCCACATTTCAAAGACACTAGCACATGTAGGCTCTGTGATGGATTATGGATTATTTTTTTCCCCGGAAGATCAATCTAGATTGGTGGTGGAGTAAACCAAGTGCTGATCTTGGAAGATCTGAGTTTAAATCCTGCCTCAGATACTTACTAGCTCTGGGTGACCCTGGGCAAGTCACTTCACCTCCGTTGGCCTCAGTGTTCTCATCTCTAAAACAGGGATAATAATAGCCCCTACTTCCCAGGGTTGCTTGGACCAAATGAGATAATATTTGTAAGAGTGCTTTGTAAGCCTTTAAGTGCTAGATAATAATTTAGTTATTGTAACAAAATTCAGAGAAGCCATCACCCTGATGATGGCTTTGTGGACCACAGCAGCCCTTGATGTCCATTTACTGAGTTGTAGAAGCTCCTTGGAGCATGGTGGTATTGATAAGTTGGAAGAAGCCCAGGAGGAGAAGGGCATTGCAGACCGTGTATGCCAGGACCAGTTCAAGCACCTGGAAGGAAGGGATGCAATGGCTGCCTTGAAATATTTGAAGGGCTCTCAAGGGGAAGAGAGATGAAACGTATTCTGCCCAGCCCCAGAAGACAGGACCAGTTACTGGGTGAAAATTACAGAATCAGATCTAGATTTGGTGTAAAGAAAAAAAGACAAGACTCCCTAACCACCAGAACAATCCCAAAAAGTGTCACAGGCTGCTTCTAGAAGGAATGGTTGCTGGGTGGCTCAGTGGCTAGAGCACTGGACTTGGAGTCAGGAGATCTAGAGCTCAAATCTGGCCTCAGATCCATACTAGCAGTATGATCCTAGACAAATCATTTAACCTCTGCCTGCCTGTTTCCTTACCTGTCAGAAGGGGATAATAATAGCACCTACCTCCCAGGGGTTTTGTGAGGATTAAACGAGATATTTATAAAATACTTGGCACAGGACATTTTCAGAAAAACCTGGACTTACATAAAATGAGGCATAGTGAAGTGAACAGAACCAGGAGAATGTTGTACACAGTAATAGCAATGTTGTTAGATGAAGAATTGTAAATGACTTACCTATTCTCAGCAATACAATGATCCCAGACAATCCCAAAGGACTAATGATGAATCATACTCTCTGCTTCCAGAGAAGAACTGATATTGTTTGAATACAAACTGAAACATACTATTTTTCACTTTCTTTTATTTTTTTCTTATTCGAATCTTCTTGTACAAAGTAACTAATGTGGAAATGTTTTACATAATTGCACATATAAGCTATATCTGATTGCTTCCTGTCTCAAGAAGGGGGGAGGGGGGAGGGATAGAATTTGGAACTCAAAACATTAAATAAAAATGAAATACTTAGCAAACCTCAAAGGACTCTATAAATGCTAGCTATTATTATTATCATCATTATTAATGAGTTTCCCTTTACCACGTCAGTCTTCAAGTAGAGGCTCGATGACTACTTGTTGGGAAGATTAAAGGGGGAATTCCTGTTCAGATGGAGGTCATGCTCTTTGAGGTACCCTCCAAACAAGAGAATTTTGCCATTCTCCATGACTTAGGAACCCCCATTCTGCCTTCCAGCTGCTTCTGACATTCTCCTTTTCCCAAGAAATAATTCCGGATCTCCTAGTACTTTGGTGGTATTGACTGAATATGTAAATTAGGTCCCCTGCCCTCAGCTTAAAGTGAATGATCACATACCCTGATGTGTCTAGGAGGTGAGACCAACCAATCAAAATGTCCTCAGATGGATTGGAGCGACTCAGGAAGAGGGTTCTGATAAGCTGAAGAAACTCAATCACACCCTAAAGGTCAATTACAAAATATCCACATAGTGGAGAACAGAAGTTATCTGAGAGATTCGGGTGTCAGAGAAATGCAAATGAGGAAAGAACATTTCTGGAGAGTCTAAGACATAGCTCTGCAAAAATCCTAGCTAAGAAGCTACACCATGCCTAAAGGACACTTCATAAGTACCTCACCAAGGGGAGAAAAGAATGTCTAGCATCCAGGAGCTGGGAGTTCCTCCTTTGTCACATGTGCTCCCTAAGCTTCAGCCCACTTCCCCCTAGATTCTTTCTGTACTTATGCAAGAGCATGTCATAGACTTCTGTGGAGGGGGGGGGATGTTTTATGCCAACTATTCTTACCTTAATAAATACCCTTTTCTAAAAGCCATCTGAGTCTGGCTGACTAAGTAGTTGTCAACTGACACTCATGGCAGGAAATACAGTGGTGGGCACTCACAGGCCCTGGCATTAGAAAATATATCTAACCCCACCCCCCTCAACCTCTCCACCTCTAAAACCCCAAGAAGACACAGTGGCTGAGTTCTGGAGCCCAATTCATCAGGGTGAATAGGGGCAGGCAAAGTACCTCAGAGCTTGTGTCTACACTTTGCTTCCTTTGCTTCCTGCCTATATTTTCACGTAGCTGTGGGCAGGTAGCAACTGCACCAGGAGGCTACCCCTTCATGCTCCCATCCTCCTAGAAGCACATACCATGGTTGCAGCCAGCTAGCTATTAATAAAAGGAAATTGTACTGGAAGAGAGAAGAAAAATACTGAGAAGCTGCTACACATGTGGAGCATTGTTTAAAAATTCCAGCTGGCTACAAAAGGGAATTTCCAAAAATGTCAACGTGATGACTTATTCTGAACAGTAAAAAGCTTGGATAGTAAACGCGATGGAAATAATATCAAGTTAGAAAAAGAACGGAACAGAATTACAACATATCAGCTAGAAGGGACATTAATCCTTCTGTATACAATATCAACCACATACCAGGGAAGTGATTACTGAGCCTTTGCTTGAAGTCCTCCAGCCAGGAGGAGTCCACCACCTCCTAAAGCAGCCCAAGAGCTTTTTGTTGTTGTTTCTATGTCACACTCTTGGACTATGTTGAGCTTTCAGTCCACTAAAATCCCAAGTTTTTTGCGAGTGAAATTCTTTCTAGCCTCAGCTTCCTCCTCAGGTACTTGTCAAATTGATTTTTGGAAATTAAGGGGAACGCTTTACATTTGTCCCTCTTCAATGACATCTTTCTAGATTCCATCAGTCAATCAGCATTTATTAAGTGCTTATTGTGTACTAGGCACTGGTGCTAAGCCTCTGAAGATACAAAGAAAGGCAAAGGACAGTCCCAGCCCTCCAGGACCTCACCATATAATGGAGACAAGTACTGGCAAGATGCTTGTAGAACCTATCACCCATATGTTTGCTGTTTACCCATTCCATCCCCAGCTTTCTATTAACTGCCAACTGAAAACAGATGCCACCTACACTTTAACCAAGTCATTATTCATGTTTAAACAGCACAGGGCCAAGCCCAAATCCTTGGCACTTTCCACTAAAGATACTTTCACCAGATACTCTTTGGGTCCAGCATTGAATCCAGTTCTTAATCCCCCTGTCTTGTTGCTAGGATACATCTGGGCAGCCAGGTAGCACAGTGGATGGGATGCCAGGCCTGGAGTCAGGAAGACTCATCTCTGAGTTCAAAGCTGGCCTCACACAGTTACTAGCAGTGTGACCCTGGGCAGGTCACTTAACCCTTGTCAGTAAAATGAGTTAGAGAAGAAAATGGCCAGCCACTCCAGTATTTTTTGCCAAGAAAACCCCAAATAGGGTCACGAAGCGTTAGACAAGACTGAAATGACTGAACAACAACAAACAACAACTAGAAGATATCATTCCTTCTGGTCCTTAAAAAAACACAGGGGAGACTTTGTCCAATGAATTGTACTTGGCACAACAGTAAGCACTAACACATGCTTGTTGATTGACTGACTGACTGACTGCTTCCACGATGTATAGGCAAAGTATCCCTACACCATTCTCTGATCTACCAGCCTAACAACCCTGTTCAAAAACAAAATGAAGTGAGTCTGGCATGACCTGTTCCTCATGTAGCCATGATGGCTCTTTGTGCTTATCGCTTCCTTTTCTAGATATTCATTAACCATCCCTTTAATAACATGTTCCAGGAATTTTCCAAATAGCAAGTAACAGAGCCAGGACTCAAACCTAGGTCTTCTAACTCCTCTCAACCCCAAGTGTTACCTCCTGGTCATAGCTATATGGTGAAATGACCCTTGTCTTAGTGTGATTGAAAGTTGTGACATTGTTGGTCTAGAGGAAGCAGAATAATTAACAGCAGGGGGAAATTCAACTTTGATTCAGTTGCTGACAGCTGGAAAGCTCCGGTTCAGCCACATTGCTTCTTCCCATGCTGTTTGCAGGAATTTCCTCACCTTGACTTCCTGGAGGAAAGGTATCCAGCACAAGCCTTTATATGCAGCAGGTGTTCAAAAAATAAATGAGTGAAAAATTCTCTCTCCTTGCTATTTCCCTGTTTTGCCAAATGTAGAACTCAGTGGGGTGGAGTGCGGGAGGAGAAATAAGAGGAAAGGGAGGAGGCAGAGTGGAGGAAGTGGGTGGTTTTGACCGCCCGCCAGTTGACTCACCATTGACCCTGTCGTCCCCTGAGCTAACAACAGTAGTAAGACTGGGCTAGCCGGGATTGAAGACAGAAAACAGCACTTCTCACGTTGACGTCTGATTTCTTCCTTTCCTGGAAATGGGGCAAGAAAAAGAACCGTGATGCCAGTAGTTTCAGTTTTGGCTGAGGTGGAAAGCAGCTCACAAAATCTCTCTTTGAAACAAAGCTCAGCTCTTAGGGAGGGAGAGACTCCTGTCCCACCCCATATGCACACAGCCATCCCCAGACAGGACAAGGCTGCCAAGGTAAGCTGCGGCAGGGAGCAAAGCCGGGAGGAGAGGAGGTCTGTGGGGGAAGGCACCTTAGAAAAAAGCCTGAGGAAGAACCAGCGAGGTGCCTGTAGCCTGCACAGCCCGTCCCAGAGCATGAAAAAGTGAGCAAGAGTTCAGGGACTGAAATCTCCCTTTCCCACTCCTGGTTCCTGTTCTTAGGTGTTCCAAGAGATCTAAAAAAGCTGGATAGTTACGCTGGTGGGATTCCCTAGAACAGTCTATCCTGAGAGAAGACAGGCAGCATTACCAGTTTCGCCAACTCTGACTTTGACCCTAGGACTTTAGAGAACTGTTTCCTGAGACTTCACCATGCCCTGTTTCTTCTCCACGCCTGTCACCCGTGCTAGCTAGTAGTAAACTACTCCGTGGGTTTAGCCTCGGCTTCTTCCTCCAAACTTGTCTCTTAGGGGTCACCAGAATTCTCCTGGTTGTACCTCCCTGGCAATAACATCCAAGGGGGCCATGCTGCCTGAACCCAGCCTGCTGGCCTAGAGATCATGTGGTATTTAAGAATTAGGGCCCCTAAAACAGAGTCCAAGATGAAACCTCTCTAAAGTAAAATCTATTGCTGTTAAGACTCAGGTTAGGACACAGACTTTTTGATCTGCACTAGTTCTGGGGTATCCCGAGTATGTCACTCATTTCATCCCCCAAGAGAGCAATGATCAAGAAATTTCAGTTTCTCTTCAGAGCCTCAGGCCTTATAGTACAGGGATCTCAATTCCTCAGGGATTTGTCCCAGTCTCTGACTTCACATATTACTTTTCCTTACCAAGGCCATTCATTTCCCTTCCTTTCTCCCCCCAGAGCTTGCTCCTTGCTTGTTTCTCTCCTCATCACTTTCTCCTTATTAGCTGGCTCCTTCCCAGCTCTCTACAAACATATTCCAGTCTTGTGCCTCCTTTAAAAAACTCTACTTGCTAGAGTACCAGCCCTGGATTCAGGAAGACCTGAGTTCAAATCTGGCCTCAGACACTTGTAACTCTGGGCAAGTCACTTCACCCCATTGCCTTACCAAAAAAAAAAAAAAAAAAATTAGATGTCGATGACATGTGGAAAATATATATTTAATATTGATACTAGTTTGTTTTCTATGCTTCTTTTAGCTTAATAGAACTTCCTTGTTTATCTTTTTTTTTTAGTATATGGAATTTCAATTTTTAACTTTTGTGTTGTCAAGAACTAGAATAACATCCAGTGCTCATGGCTGGGCTGTGCAAATATAATAAAAATGACAATACTACCTATATATATATATTATATATAGTTTTAATGCTACAAATTATCAAAGGTATATTTTATTGAACTCTGTAAAGAAATGTTCAAAATCATTTGAGGAAACAAAACATCTAGATTTTAAAGGTAAATGATTAGAAATGATGAAACTTAACAAGCAGTGTTGGAAAACCTATAGGTCATAAGTTACTACAGTGTTTTGACGAAGTAGAAGGGCTAAGTTAGTCAAACAAAGTTATTCCCTCCCCCCAAAAAAGGCCAAAACTACAAAGAAAATAATGCTGAGATGGATACATTGACCCAAATGAAAATTTAAGAGGAAATTAGCCACTAATTAGCCACAAGAGATGTCAAGACTTTGAATTAGGAGGAGACAAGAAGAGCAATAATTAAAATTAGGTCAAGATGTCCAGCTCTAAACTTAAAAAAAAAAAAAACAACAACTCTACTTGACTCTGAAGTACCCTTTTAAGCCAAAGGTTCTTAACTTGGCATCTATTTCAGGGGTGAAATTGGATAGGGGGAAAATTATGTCTTTATTTTCAATTTGCTTTCCCTTGTAATCTTAGGTATTTTATTTTATGCATTTAAACACATTATTCTGCTAAGGAGTCCAAAAGATTCACCACACTGCCAGAGGTGTCCATGACACAAAAAAAAGTTAATAACTTTTGCCTTGAACTTTTCTCTTCTATAGGCATCAAGGTGGCAGAGTGGATAAACCGTTGAATCTGAAATTAGGAAAGTCCTCAGTTCAAATCAGACCTCAGATACCGATTGGCTATGTGATCCTCGGCAAGTCATTTCACAGTGCCTTCCTCAGTTTCCTTATCTGTCAAATGGATATAATAAGAGCACCTACCTCCCAAAGCTGTTGTGAGGATCAAATGAGACAATAATTTTAAAGTACTAAGCCCAGTGCCTGACACTCTGATATATAAGAGCTATATAAATGTTAGCTACCCCTCGATCCCTTGCAGTGCCATGAAAACTGAAGGAGCAGAGAACACACAGAAGGTTGGGGAGGGGGGTGACTGCAGAGTGGTCAAGAAGGATGAGAACTGAGAAAGTCATCAGAGTCAGCAAATTAAATGACAATTGGTAGCCTTAAAGAGGGAAGTTTCTGTTTAGGATGAAGGCAAACAGCAGATTGCAAGTGGTTGAGAAGTGCAAAGTGAAGAAGTCGAGGCAAGAGCTACAGAAAGCTTTTTCCAGATTTGGCTGAGGAAGGAGAGATAATAACAATAATGATGATGATGGTGAAAATAACTAAGATTTATGTAGTGCTGATCCAAACACATCACCCCTCGATAAACTCTAGTGATTCCCTAACACTTCCAGGATCAAATACAAAAAGCTCTTCTTGGCATCTAAAGCCCTTCCTAACGTAGATCCCTTCTATCTTTCTCTTTTTCTTATGCTTTACTCCCTGCCCTGTACTCTCTGATGGCTCAGGACATTTCCTCTGGCTGTCCTCCGTGCCTGGAATGTGCTCCCTCCTCATCTCCCCACCTTGGCTTCTCAGGTCTCAAGTCCTAGCTAAAATTCTACCTTTTCCAGAAAGATTTTTCCTAATCCCTCTTCCTCCTAGTAACCTCCCTCTTCTGATTGTTGTATTTATGTATGTGTGTGTGTGTGTGTGTGTGTATGCACATTATATATATAAAATACATAGGTGTTTGCATATTTTCTCTCTCATTAGGTTGTGAACTCTTCAAGGACAGGGGCTGTCTTTTTGACTTTTTTTTTATGCCTAGTGCTTAGCACAGTGCCTCATACATAGTAGTTGTACAATACATCTTTTTTGACTGACTGACTGACAGTCTGATGGCTTATGTGCAAAGTATTAAACTGACAACTCCATTCCTTCAGGAGAAAGGAGTCAGAGAGACTAACTAGCTTCTGTCCCCACTTCTCTCTTGCCCTTCCTAAGAGCCATGGCCTCTGCATTTGAGTGGGCTGCCAAGAACGTGGTTCGAGAGCTGAGCAGAAATGGGGAGCTCATCCCTGTGGACAGCCTCAAGAGCTCCACTCACTTCAGTCCCTACTACCTGGTCCGGAAGAAGGCCAGGAGCTCCTTGTTTTGGAGGTCGAAGTATGTTTGGCTCAATTTGACTCTCAAGGACATTCTGGATCCCAGCTCCCCAGAACCAGGTATAATCCCTTGGGGAGGTGAGGGGGTGGCCAGCACAAGTGGGTGAGAGAAGGAACTGGAGAAGGCTACTGACCTGGATTATGATGGGGGAAATGGGCCCAACAGGCTTGGCCAGAATACACAACTTTCCTAGGACTAACTGTGTAGGCACATGCTGTCCTATATCAGTGATGTCCAGAATGTTCTGTCCAGCCACCCTAAAGAGAGGTTGGGATGAATTGGGGAGGCAATGCAGAGCCATGGAACAAGTCAGAGACTTGGGTTTGAGCCTTGGTTCTTTCACTCACTAGATATATGACTGGGGATGAGTCACTTCTTACCTGCTCTGAGCCTCTATTTCCTCATCTGTAAAATGGGAATGATAATATTCGTACTCCCCATTTCACATGCTGGTTGTGCAGAAGGCACTTTGTACTTTGTAAAGTGCTACAGAACTGCGAGTTATTGTGACTCAGGAAGTAAACATAAAGTTGGGGTCCCAGATGCCTTTACCTCGTCCCATGGTGGCCCCTGCTGTACAACCACATTTAATGCTCACTTTAGCTAAGGATTGGCCTCTCTCCCTCCAGAAGTGACCCAGCATGGACCATTCCACTTTAATGATGAGGTGGATGGGCAGGTGTCTGGCAGTGTGGAGGTAACTGCCTCTGTGAAGGGGAAGATTTCAGGACAGACCTCAGTGTCAAACAAAACCATCCTCGAAGTCAAGACTCTCATCGTATCCCCTAACACCTGGGACAGCTTACAGAAGGAAAGGTGAGAGGAATGGACAAGACAAGAACTGGGAGTTCTAGTGACTTCTCTTTGGGGGTGGGGGAAGGTGGAGGAGGGAGTGGGAGCAAAACAAAGTGGCCCAGGGGCCACCAGAGAGAAATAGAGAGTCAGAGTTTTCCTTGGGTAGTGCTTATGTCCTGTATTGTCTGAGGTCTGGAAAAGACCCTGTCCCTAGCCTCATGGAGCTCACAGACTAGAGGGGGATGAGAATAATCCATTTAAACAACAATTCACAGTATTATCTAAGTGTACTAGGAAGGTACAAAGTGAGGTCCAAGAAAGAAGGTTCTTCCCATCAGGAAGAGATGTGGAAAGGTTTACTGGAGGAAGGGGCATTTGAGTTTAGCTTTGATTGATGGGTAGGAATTTAACAGGTTAAGAGAGTGAGGGAAATCATTTCATGCATTTCAACAAGCGCAAAGAAGGCATGTTCAAGAGGCAGTGGTTTTAAAATATATATGTATATATTGATATCATTCATTTATATAGCACCTCCACACCTAAATGTTTTTCCCAGCTAGTAATCCATTCCTTGTGACAAAAAAACACAAAATAGAGGGAGAAAATGGGTCAACAAAACTAGCCAACATGGCAGCTGAGTCTGACTATGTATATAATGCTCCACACCCATAGTTCCCCATCTTTGCATCTTTTATTCCTCAAGGACAAGCTCTGTCATTGTAATTATTCAGTATTAAGTTTTGTTTTTGCTCTTCCCATTTACACCATTGTAGGCACTGTGTATATTCTTTTCCTGCTGGTGCTTACTTCATTTTGCATCAGTTCATAGAAGTCTCCCCATGTTTCTCTGAATTCTTCAAATTCTTTATTTCTCCTACTCACACATTCAGGTACCACAATTTTTTTTGGCATCTACTTTGTTTGCAATTCTTGACTACCGTAAAAAGTGCTAGTATGAATGAGACTACCTGTCTTAAACTCCTTGGGGCACACATGCCTAGCAGTGGGACCTCCAGGTCAAAGATGTGAACATTGTGGCATCATTCCCAATTGTTTTCCAGAAAGACTGAACCAATTCACGGCTCCATCTCCAGCGTACTAGTGTGCCTGTCTCTCCATAGCCACTCTAACATTGCCATGTCTATTACTTGTAATCTTTGACAGTTTTCTGGTTGTAAAGTAAAACCTCTGGCCTGTTTCAATTTGCCTTTTTGAGAGCAGTTTCAAACAGTCCTATCTGAATGGAACGGAAAGATTGAGGAGTCCTATGAAGTAAGGTAGGAAAAGTAGATGGGCCTCAAACTGAAGGAAGATCTTGAATGTCAGACAGAGGAGTCTGAATTGTCTTTAGTAGGCAGTAGGGAGTCACTGAAGACTCTTGAACAGAGGAATGACACGGCCAGATTGATAGATGAGGAAGATGAGTCTGGCAGCAATATGAAGACCAGAGTAAAGAAGGGAGAGGATGGAGGAGGCAGCATGGCCTATTTGGAGGCAATTGGGTTAGTTCCTGCAGGTGGTAATTAGAGGCTGTGATAGGGTAGAGGCAGTGGGTATTGAGTGGAGTGGACAGATGTAAAAGGTGATGGAATCAATAGGGCCTACTCACTGGTTAGATGTGAGACATGAGAGAGAGTGGAGAAAGAACAATAATTCCCAGATTATCAATTTGGGAGACCGTGTGAACAGAGTTGCTACAGATAGGAATAGTAATATCAGGAAAAGGATCAAGTTTGCAGTTGAATGAGCTCAGTTTGGGGCTGGTTGAGCTTGAGGCATCAGCGGGACATCTGGGTGGAGATGATCTGTAAACATCACAGACACAATTCAGGGGAAAGGGCCCTGGATTTAGACCATGGGTAAGTAGCTTATCTTTGAACCTCAGTTTCTTTATTTAAATCTAGCAAACAAGGGAGGTGGAGCCAAGATGGTAGAATAAAGGCAGGGACTCATCTGAGCTCTCTCTTAACCCCTTCAAATACCTTTAAAAAATGACCATAAACAAATTCTAGAGCAACAGAACCCACAAAAAGACAGAGTGAAATGAATTTCCAGCCCACAACAGCCTGGAAAGTTGATAGGAAAGGTCTGTTGCACCACAGTGAGAGAGGAACACAGTCCAGCATAGGCTGAGCCAGCACAGCCCCTGCCCTAGCAAACCATGAGCAGGCCTTGGGAGTGACTGAATCAGCAGTAGCGGTTGCTTCTAGAGCTCTCAGCCCACAGACAGTAAGGGAGTTGAACAACTGGTCAGAACAAGATTAGAGGCATCTTTTTGCTAGCACTGAGGCAGGACTCTGTTGCTTTGCCCATACTCAGATCCAGGTCACAGTCCTGGGTGGCAGTCTTAGGGTGAAGAGAAGCACTAGCATAGAAAGTATGTCTGAAAACAGCTGCACAAAACCCCTGAAGCTTGGGACAGTTCACCCTCCACCCTGGAAACAGCGTCCTACCTTAACAAAGACTTAAAAGTCAAGTAATAGCCTGGGAAAATGAGCAAACGACAGAAAAAAACCTCTGACTATAGAAACTTATTTTGGTGACCAGGAAGACCAAAATACATACTCAGAAGAAGACAACAAAGTCAAAACTCCTACAACCAAAGCCTCCAAGAAGAATATGAATTGGTCTCAGGTCATGGAAGAGCTCAAAAAGGATTTTGAAAATCAAGTAAGAGAGGTACAGAAAAATTGGGAAGAAAAATCACAGTGATGCAAGAAAGTCATGAAAAATTAGTCAACAGCTTGGTAAAGGAGACACAAAAAAATACAGAAGAAATTACACCTTAAAAAACAGACTAGGCCAAATGGTAAAAGAGGTCCAAAAAAGCCAATGAGGAGAAGAATGCCTTAAAAAGCAGAATTGGCCAAATGAAAAAGGAGGTCCAAAAGCTCACTGAGGAAAATAATTCCTTAAAAATTAGAATGGAGCAAATGGAAGCTAATGACTTTATAAGAAATCAGGAAATCATAAAACAAAACCAAAAAAATGAAAAAATAGAAGACAATGTGAAATATCTCATTGGAAAAACAGCTGACCTGGAAAATAGATCCAAGAGAAATAATTTTAAAATTATTGGACTATCTGAAAGCCATGATTAAAAAAAAGAGCCTAGACATCATCTTTCAAGAAATTATCAAGGAAAACTGCCCTGATATTCTAGAACCAAAGGGTAAAATAGAAATTGAAAGAATCCACCAATCACCTTCTCAAAGAGATTCCAAAATGAAAATTGCCAGGAATATTGTAGCCAAATTCCAGAGTTCTGAGGTCAAGGAGAAAATATTGCAAGCAGCCAGAAAGAAACAGTTTAAGTATAATTGAGCCGCAATCAGGATAACGCAGGATTTAGCAGCTTCTACATTAAAGGATCAGAGGACTTGGAATATGATATTCTAGAGGGCAAAGGAGCTAGGATTACAGCCAAGAATCACCTACCCAGCAAAACTGAGTATAATCTGTCAGGGGAAAAATGAGACAGAGGAATTTCAAGCATTCTTGAGAAAAGACCAGAGCTAAATAGAAAATTTGACTTTCAAACACAAAACTGAAGAGAAACATGAAAAGGTCAATGGGAAAGAGAAATCATAAGGTACTTAGTAAGTTAAAACTGTTTACACTCCTACAAGGAAAGATGATATTTGTAACTCACAAGACCTTTCTTATTATTAGAGTAGTTAGAAGGAGCATATATAGACAGAGGGCATAGCTGTGAGTTGAATATGAAGGGATGATATCTATGAAATAAAATTAAGGGGTGAGAGAGGAATGTACTCAGAGAAAGAGAAAGGGAGAGGTAGAATGGGGTAAATTATCTTATATAAAAGAGGCAAGAAAAAGCTTTTACAGTGGAGAGGAAGAGGAGGGAGGTGAGGGGGAGTCAGTGAACCTTACTCTCATCAGAATTGGCTCAAAGAAGGAATAACATACACACTCAATTGGGTATAGAAATTTATCTTACCCTATAGGAAAGTAGGGGGGAAGGGAATAAGAGAAGGGGGTAATGCTAGAAGAGAGGATAGATTGAGGGAGATGGTAGTTTGAAGCAAAACACTTCTTTTATAAATTAATTTATTTTGAATTATCAAGTCACTTCCATAAGCTTTTGAGTTTTAAATTTTTCTCCCCCTCCCTTCCCACCTCCCTCCCCAAGACAGCGCACAATCTGATATAGTCTATACATATACATTCCTATTAAACATATTTTCACATTAGTGATGTTGTAAGTGAGAATTAGAACCAATAGGAAGAACCACCAGAAAGAGGAAACAAAACACAACAGAAGAAAAAAAAATAGCAAGTAGTATGCTTTGATCTGCATTCAAACTCCATAGTTCTTTCTTTGGATGTGGATAGCATTTTCCATCATGAAGCCTTTGGAGATGTCTTAGATCCTTGTATTGTTGAGAAGGGTTAAGTCTATCAATGTTAGTCATTGCACAACGTGGCTGTTACTATGTACAACTTTCTCCTGGTTCTGCTCACTTCACTCAGCATCAGACCATACAAGTCTTTCCAGGTTTTTCTGAAGTCTGCCTGCTCATCATTTCTTATAGCATGATAGTATTCCATTACATTCATATACCACAACTTGTTCAGCCATCCCCTAGTTGATGGGCATCCTCTCAATTTCCAATTCTTTGCTACCACAAAAAGAGCTGCTATAAATATTTTTGTACATGTAGGTCCTTTTCCCATTTTGATGATCTCTTTGGGATAAAGGCCTAGAAGTGCTATTGCTGGGTCAAAGGTATGCACATTTCTATAGCCCTTTGGGCATAGTTTCAAATTGCTCTCCAAAATGGTTAGATCATTTCATAAGTCCACCAACAATGCATTAGTGTTCCAATTTTCCCACATCTTCTCCAACATTTATCATTTTCCTGTTTTGTCATGTTGGCCAATCTGATAGGTGTGATGTGGTACCTCAGAGCTGTTTTGATTTGCATTTCGCTAATCAATAGTGATTTAGAGCATTTTTTCATATGACTATAGACGGCTTTAATTTCTTCATCTGAGAA